TTACAGGCTTTCTGCCCCTTCGGCTGTAATATAGATTCTAACCTGCAGTCCTTAGATTGTGTGTTTAACTTGGAATACCTGTAAAGGCAGAGCTTTCGATGTAGAAACCTTAAATACTGTGAGTGACAAGTTGTAGATAGATGGGAAAGGATTATTTCAATTTTATTTCTGTGAATTAAAAATGGAGTTACATAATTCATGCCATTTGTCATTTTCTTCAGAAACTTAGTAAAACATACATCATTATTTAATGACAACAGTAACGTCAGGCAGTTATTAATCCATGAAGTGGCTTAGAGAGTTGAGGACGCAAAGTCCCACAATACTAATAGTGTTATTTATTTGATTACATTTTATGTAATTTCATTTACTTTGCACTGATAAAATCATAGACAGACAAATTTCCCAGGGTAAAACTTATTCCATGTTCAGGTTTATTCTTTTTTAATTTTTTTTGCAGAATGTACTTTAATTAAAATATTTCTCTCTTTCTTTTCCTCCCTCTCAGTCCTCCCATACATGCCTCCCAACTCCCCTTCAAATTCATGCTCACCTTTCTCATTAATTGCTATTTTATATGTGTGTGTGTGTGTATACATATTCCTAAATATAACCTGTTCAGTCTGCATAATATTACACGTATATATGCATTTAGGGAAAATCATTTGGCATTGGGCCACCAATTGGTGTGCTCTTTCCTGGAGGGCTATCTCTTCCATCTCAGGTTTCCTAAATTGCCCATAGTTCTTTGTGTAGCATTGAGGCCTCACAGCCTTGTCTCCATTCTTTTCCACATGTGCATGTTCTTTATAGTACATGGACATTGACAAATGCAGTTTGGAAGGTGAATAATCCAGGTTATAAATGCCACTCATTCCATATTTGTTCATTTAGCACACTTTATTTGCTTGACATTTATGAATTACTTTATTGCTTAGATTCTGTTGTATAGTGGATAAATGTATGATGTGAAGCAAGTTTGGCTATGGGGCTGTAGTCTATGGCTTTATGGACTCTTTAGTGCCTGAGATGACCCATCACTTTTACCTAAGCCTGTCCATTGGTCAAGCAAGATTTTAGATTATTTTCTGCGCTTCCTTCCTGCTGTGACATTCTGTGTGCTAAAGGTTGGTTTTATCTAGTAATGGAGTGGATTTATTCTGATAATAAATAACTTGAATAGTCTTTATGATGTTTTGACAATGATAGCTGTTCTAATACTTGGAAAGACAAGCACTAGCCAGCAGAGATTGTTGCCCAATTTCTATGTACATCTCATTGTTGCCACACAAACAACAAGGGATATTGGAATATTACATGTGTGCAAACAGAATCAAAGCATAATGTTTTGATCTGTATGTATGAATATTTGTGCTTTGAACTAACTTTATCATTCTATAACATTAAGAATGCATCTTCCTTATTTATGTCCAAGAGTTTGCAATAAACCCTGTTCTAGTTTGCTTTCTGTTGCTGCAGTATAAACACTCTCATCAAAATCAGTTTGGGCAGCAAATGGTTTATTTGGCTTCCAGCCCTTCCAGCACACATTCAGCATTGATGGGGGTCAGGGCAGAAGCTCAACCAGGAACTTCAAAAGAAACCATGGGAGAATGCTGCTTAGTCGGTCACTCCCTGGATCAAATCCAGCTACCTTTCTTAAAGAGCCTGGCCCAATTGTTTAGAGAAAGTGGCACCCACAGTGGGCTGGTATCTCCATATCAATCATCAGTCAAAACAAACTTTCATAGACATGGGCATATGCCAGTCTGAACAAGGCAATTCTTCAATTGAAATGTCCTCTTCGTAGGTGAACAAATGTTCACCTGAACTTCTTGTAAATAGGAAATACATTACTTTACATGCTAATAGCATCTATGATGACAGTGTGTATGTGTGTGCATGTGTGTGTGTTTGTGTGAGTGTGGTTGTGTAAGTAGTTCCTAGTCATGGGCCAAGTTTATTTGCTTTCCTGTATTTGTTGAGTTTAAGTTCATGTTCCTGTTTGGCCTTGACCTCTTGCTCATTAGTGAGCCTGAATAATGTAAAAATTGTGAGCTTATCTTCCCTTATCACTGGCTATATCAGCTCTCCTTGTGAGGAAGCTCAGGCTTTAGCATACTCCAAATGACATCTACCATGGTAGGCTCCTCAGCAGGGCATGCAGCCATCTCTTCTTACAGGCAAGAAACAGAGGAGTATTTTTGTTGTTGTTGAATGTTTTATTTTTACCTAAGAAATTTTCCTCTCTGGTGTTAACTTACCAGGCAATGTATTATACAAGTAGAGAATTGTAGAAAATTAGTATGCTGGAGCACGACTTAACCAATAGGACATAGAATATGATAGAATAAGGTGTTTGAACTTGGAAACTTTGCTCACTTAGTAATAAATTACAATATCAGAACAATACTGAAAATGGAGTTCAAATATCCCTTGACCTCCTGATTGTGAGGCTTACTTATTTCTGTTGCCCATTAAATGTAGGCTTAGATTTTTTCACCAAACCTACTTTATTTAGGATTCTTTTTTTCTTTTTTAATTAATTTTTTATTTTTTTATATTAATTACAGTTTATTCACTTTGTATCCCAGATGGAGCCCCCTCCCTCATTTCCTCCCAATCCCACCCTTCCTACCTTATCTCCTCCCTGCACCTCTCCAAGTCCACTCATAAGGTGAGGTCTTCCTCCCCTTCCATCTGACCCTAGCTTATCAGGTCTCATCAGGACTATTTAGGGTTCTTAAACACCTTTACCTCCCTTCCAACCTCCCAACCTTAGATAGGAGATTAGTAGGGAAAAGGACTGTAGATCTTTTTATAGTCTTCTTGCTGATTAGGGTCGATGAATCTTTAGGGGATAACCAAACTCAGTTGTCAAGATACCAGCAGTCCAGTCCAAAGACCAACACCATGCAGCAACATTAATCAACAAAAACAAATCAGCAAAAGCCACAAGATTCAGTTGGACTGCCCCAAGAAGTTCTCTGGAACATTTCTCTGCAAAGTCAAGTGTGGAAGCATGAAGATCAGAGCAAAGATGTTGATCTAAAAAGTGATCCCTCATTGTGTGTGGGATATATGGAAATCCCTCTATTTATTTCATCTCCTCAGGGTCCACCATGGATGTTCACAGTTAGCCCAGGTCAAGCCCCCTCAAACAAGAGAGCTCACAGTAAAACATCACATGACAAAACTGAGTCTTCAAAGAAACCAAAACTTCCACTTCAATTAAACTCTTTTAAAAATCTACCTTAACGTGTATTTTAATTACTTTATTTCAGTCATTTTTTTTAACCTAGAGCAACTGGTGTTCACTGAAATGCCTAATGGTTTCATCCTCTGGTCTCATCCTATTATTTCAACTTTTCTCAGGTTGACATAATCATATGTTGATGCTTCTGTATGTGTGCCTGTCAGTGTCACCTTTAGAGCACACAGGGCCATCTATATGTTTCTCTGTATAGATTGTGGCATTTTGGAGAAATTTAATAAGTTTAATAGCATCTTCCATGGAATGCTGTCAGTTTATCTTAAGTCACTTCTCATAGAATGCTAAACTTCTCTCACCGTGTTTGAAGAAACATCTCAGTTCTTGGCATGTGTGCATATACTTGGAATCATCCCATATGAAGTTCAGTTACACTTGTCTTTCCTTTTTTTCCTTAATTGGTATTCCTAAAAAAGACTTAAGGGCATCATAAATCATAAACGTGCATCTATTAGTATTATATAGGAATACTAAGTGCTATTACTCATATAGAACTGTATGTTTATAGCAAAGCCTGGAACCTTATTTATTAGGTTGATGTACCATGCAGTTCTCTAGCTCATATCCAACCTACTTGTCTTGATTCTTCTAGGTTTGGCTTTCTAGAGTCATTTGATTGTTTTGTCGTTCTTTTGTACTCAATTTTAATATCCTACAATTTGAGGTCAGAGAAAATGACTCCTTTTCTTTAAAAAAACAAAAAAACCGTCTCTCTATAGTCCTCTCACCACCTGCCTTTTTATCATAAGCTTTTTACTCTCATTTTCTACTGATTAATTCCTTTTCAAATGAATGTTGTGTCATGAAAGCTATTGGGAAGGCTGAGGATGAGATTAATATTGGCAAAGATTTTAAAGACTTCAGAAGAAAGAAGAGGAGGACTTCATCACAATCCCACTGAAACAAAATAAAGGCAACAGCAAACACCAGAAAACAAGTCAGTTTTATACACCACCAAATATTCTTACACTTAAAATATACGCATCTCATGAATTATTAACTTGCTATTTAGCGTGTTTCATGGACAAAATAGTGAAAGCAGCTCATTATTGCTGGTTATTGCATCATGAAAACGTGACCAGCAAAAGGTCACAGGAATGAGGAAGAGACCCAGCTAAGCAGTATACCCAAAAATTCATCATTATCACTTTTAAAATGCAATCTGATTATTTAAATTAACTTGGCTAAAGGCTAGAATTTGGATAAAAGTTAATAATTTAAACACAAGTGACAGATTAGATATTCCTTTGGGTAAAGCTGAGATAACATATATGCATGCAGGGTATTGAAATCGACCTTGAGAGAAATGAATGCCAAAGAAAATGTGCTGAAGTCCTCTATCTGTGCTATGTCATCAAAAAAGTTAACTTTTTGATATTTGTATAGTCTAAACTTTTTGTACTTTTATTTTAAGCTGGTAAACTCAGAAGGACATTATAATAATTTGTTATTCACTTGATAGTCCCAGTTAATAGTTCTGACTGTAAAAAATAAAGAAAAAAATACTCTATCGTCTTGTATTCTTTTTTCATTATTAATTACACTTTATTCATTTTGTATCCCCCCATAAGCCCCACCCTCCTCCCCTCCCGATCCCACCCTTCCTTCTCTTTCTGCATGCATGCCCCTCCCCAAGTCCACTGATAGGGGAGGTCCTCCTCTCCTTCTTTCTGATCTTAGACTATCAGTTCTCATCAGAAGTAGCTGCATTGTCTTGTATTCTTAACAGAAACCAGGAGATAAAAGAACTTGGTGATCTTTCCCCACACTGGGACAACCTGCGGAAAAATGTCCTCACTCACTGTGATCAAATGGTGACTATGTACCAAGATATCCTGACAGAGCTTACCAAGGAAACAGGTATGAAGCAGCAATTTTGCTTATCCAGACTGAATTACATTAATGAATGTCCCAAGGAAACAACAATTGGAATTTTGGCTGTAGAGATAGGAGAGCCAAAGAGAAAACTCCTACCTTTCTTATATTGGCATTTAAGGCAAGAAAGAATGAACTGTGATACTCTGCTTAGCAATATTATTATAGTAGCATAATAATAACTTAAAGGACTTTTCAAATAATATAAATAAATTAATATATGTGAGGAATGACTATTTTTCTTTCTGAAGTCTATTTTTGCCAAACGCTTCATTGAACACACACACACTACATATTTATGTGTTTGCTTATTGGTTTGGTAATCATTTCCAACCTTCACCCTTCCAGGGTCCTCTTTCAAGTCCAGCAGCAGCAAAGGAGAGAAAACGTTAGAATTTGTTCCAATAAATCTACACTTGCAACGGATGCAGGTGCACAGCCCTCACCTGAAAGGTACTGAGACCCCGTAGGAGTGTCAAATTGTATCTCAGTGTGTGCTTGCTTATACAGTCTGATGATGGTCGGGGTCCAATTGTGTCTCAGGGTGTGCTTGCTTATACAGTCTGATGATGGTCAGGGTCCAATTGTATCTCAGGGTGTGCTTGCTTATACAGTCTGATGATGGTCAGGGTCCAAGTGTATCTCAGGGTGTGCTTGCTTATACAGTCTGATGATGGTCAGGGTCCAAAATTTAAGAATTAAATGAACGGTCCTTGGTTGGAGTATCAGTCTCAGAAAAGACCCTGGGCCCAGATTGTTTGGTTCTGTTGCTCTCCTTGTGGAGCTCCTGTCCTCTCCAGGTCCCACTATCTCCCCCTTCTTTCATAAGATTCCCTGAACTATACCCAAAGTTCGGTTAAGAGTCTCATCATCTGCTTTGATACATTGCTGGGTAGAGCCTTTCAGAGGCCCTCTGCTCAGATGTAGCCCATGGCAGCTCAGTATCAAAGTGGGTGTCCTAGTAAGGGGAACAGGGACTGTCTCTGACATGAACTCAGTACTTGGCTCTTTGATCACCCCCCACCCCGCTCTGCTGAGGTGGGAGCAGCCTTGCCAGGTCACAGAGGAGAACAATACAGCCAGTCCTGATGAGAATTGATAAGCTAGGGTCAGATGGAAGGGGAAGAGGACCTCTCCTATCAGTGGACTTGGAGAGGGAAATGGGAGGAGCTGAAGGAGGGAGGGTGGGATAGGGAGGGAATGAGGAAGGGGGCTATAGCTGGGATACAAAGTGAATAAACTGCAATTAATATAAAAAATAAAAATTTAATTGAAAAAAGAATTTAATTGAAAAAAGAATTAGATGAACATAGAGAGGAAACATCCAAAGCTGATGCTGGCCCACAATAGTGAAAGAATATAGTACCGCTGCTGCTTTTCATGAAATGGCTTATAAATGTGACACCTGTCCTTGGTTAGAGGTGAAGACCCAAGAGTCTCAGCTCCCTAAAGAACATTCATGATGGTTGAGTGGTAATGATTCTGTTACTGCTTTAGTTGGTACAAAAGGAAAGAGAGCAGATACTTCATGCTGTTATCTTTGATAGAAGCCTAAACTCCAGAATGAGGAGTAGGCTGGTTTCTTCTGTGACTGTTAGCAGCAACACTCTCTTTCTTGTGGGATCAAAGGAGCAGGCAAAACTTAGTCAGTGGAAAGTAGTAGAAAGTTTTGTATGAAGAAATGTGTGGGTTCTCGGAGAATAGGTGAGCTGGACCTCAAGAGACAAAAGTAATACCCTCATTACTGTTCCACAAATTCTTTCTGTTTCTTCTATTAATATTACATTTGTGTGGTGTATGTGTGCGTGTGCATGTGCGTGCGTGCGTGCATGCGTGTGTGTGTGTGTGTGTGTGTGACTAATTAGCACCTATGTTGAGGGCAGAAAACAACTTACAGGAATTACTTCTCTCCTAGCAGGGATCAAACTCAAGTAATCAGGATTAATGACAAGTACTTTTAAAAGTCTGTTTCCCTTGTCACTTGAAAATAAAATATGTTAAGTATTCTTCCCAAGTCCCCTTTAACTTATTTATCTATCAATTTTATTCTTTGTTTTGTTTTGTTTGAAATACATTCGCATGGAGACCAGGCTGACCTCAGATTTACTATGTTGATGGGGTTATATTTCTGTGCCCATACACTTGATTTTATCATGTGTTTGGGATATGATGGAAAGACCATGGCATTTAAGAATGCTTCCTTGATTGCTTTCTGTCAGGAATTTGAACATTAATGATATGAAATAATTTTAAAACCACAAAAAAACTGAATTATATTTAAGAACTATCACCCATGTGTATTTCTTACTAGATAATGTGAAAACAGGTTTGTAGGGCAGTAAAATGTCTATGTCTTGCAGCAGCTGATCTGAGTGTGAATTAGAATTATACTGAATTTTACATATGGCCGAGGCCTTTCATTTAATCCTTTAAAGGCATTGTTCCTCTTAATATTGTTTAAGGTTAAGAGAGATGGAATATGTATTACATCAGGAGCAATACAGGAACAGCAGCTTATTATATCTTTGTTCTTTGGTAACACAAGGCCAGAATGTATCCACGTATATCATCAAAACTGTTGAATTCTATTCAAAACCAATAAAGTCTTGAGTCAGGAAGTAGCCAGAATTGGAAAAGAGGTGAGGTAGAAAATGAACTGTTTTTTTAATTAAATTTTTATTTTTTATATTAATTACAGTTTATTTAATTTGTATCCCAGCTGTAGCACTCTGTTAAGAGTCTTAGCATCTGCTTTGATACATTGCTGGGTAGAGCCTTTCAGAGGCCCTCTGCTCAGATGTAGCCCATGGCAGCTCAGTATCAAAGTGGGTGTCCTAGTAAGGGGAACAGGGACTGTCTCTGACGTGAACTCAGTACTTGGCTCATTCCCTCTCAATCTGACCCTCCCTCCCTCATCTCTTCCCATTCCCCTTTCCAAGTCCACTGATGGGGAGGTCCTCCTCCCCTTCCATCTGACCCTAGCTTATCAGGTCCCATCAGGACTGGATGCATTATCCTCCTCTGTGGCCTGGTAAGGCTGCTCCCCACTCAACAAAAGCTGATCAAAGAGCCAGGTACTAAGTTCATGTCAGAGACAGTCCCTGTTCACCTTACTAGGGAACCCACTTGGATACTGAGCTGCCATGGGCTACATCTAAGCAGGGGTTCTAGGTTATATCCATAAACGGTCCTTGTTTGGAGTTTCAGTCTCAGAAAAAGACCCTTGGGCCCAGATATTTTGGTTATGTTCTTCTCCTTGTGGAGCTCCTGTCCTTTCCAGGTCTTACTATCTTCCCTTTCTTTCCTAACATTCCCTGCATTCTGCCCAAAGTTTGGTTATGTGTCTCAACATCTGCTTTGATACACAGCTGGGTAGAGTCTTTCAGAGGTCCTCTGTGGTAGGGCCTCTGTTTCCTGTTTTCTCCTTCTTCCAGTGTCAACCCATTTGCCTTTCTGAATACAGATTGATGATCTTACCCAGGGTCCTTCTTCTTGCTTAGCTTCTTTAGGTGTACAAATTTTAGTATGTTTATTCTATATTATGTCTACTATCCACTTATAAGTGAGTATATACCATGTGTGTCTTTCTGCTTCTGAGATACCTCACTCAGGATGATCTTTTCTAGATCCCACCATTTGCCTGCAAATTTCATGATTTCCTTGTTTTCTGTATTCTTTTCTCCATTGAGGGTCGTCTGGGTTGTTTCTAGATTCTGGCTATTACGAATGAACTAAAGAAGTCAAAAAGCAACAAATCAAGTAATCCAACTAAAAAATGGGATACAGAGCTAAACAGTGAATTCTCAATAGAGGAATATAGAATGGCAGAGAAACAAAGAAAAAGAAAAAAGAAAGAAAGAAAGAAAGAAAGAAAGAAAGAAAGAAAAGAAAGAAGAAAGAAAAAGAAAGAAATGCTCCACATCCTTAGTCATCAGGAAATGCAAATCAAAGTGACCCAGAGATTTCACCTTACACACATTAGAATGGCTAAAGTAAAAAGCTCAAGTGACAACACATGCTGGAGAGGATGTGGAGAAGGGGGAACCCTCCTCCATTGCTGGTAGGAATGTAAACTTGTACAACTACTTTGGAAATCAATCTGGCGCTTTCTCAGACAATTAGGAATAGTGCTACCTCAAGATCCAGCTATACCACTCCTAGGCATATATCCAAAATATGCTCAAGTACACAAAAAGGACATTTGCTCAACCATGTACATAGCAGCTTTTTTTGTAATAGCCAGAAATGAACTGTTTTTACATATAAGTACTTAGTATCAGATGTAAAAGTTGGAAGCAGAGAGTAATTTTGACCCAAGCTACTGACAGGCAGCAGTGTCTTCACCCACATATACCATTTGGAGCCACATGGATACAGATTTAAGGTTCTGATGTAGTTAGACATCATAATATTTAGGAATGATTACATATATAATTTTATCAAACAGACTGTAATATCAACAGTGCTTTTTCCCCCCTTCATATCTCTTACGAAAAATCAAACAAAGGCTTGCCCAGTTAATTTGGTTTGGCGTGGGTAACAGCCTCCAATGATTTCCACATGGAAAATCACAAATGAGGGTATTTAGACAACCAGATGTCCAAGTGTCAGCCAGGCCATGTTCCCTCTGAGCCTGAGAGGAATCCTCCTTTATTGTTAAGAGGTTGCTAACTTTTTTGGCTGTTTTGTTTTTGCTAATCCTACAGCTTTACATGTTGCCTGCATTCCTTCTCTATATGACTCTCTCTCTCTCTCTCTCTCTCTCTCTCTCTCTCTCTCAATCCCTCCCTACCACCTCAATCACTCACTTCCTGTTCACATTTCTTCTGTAAGAGCACTGGTCATATTAGGCCAAGTCATACCTCAATGATTTGTCCTCAGCTTGAGATTGTTTGCAAAGATTCTGTTTTAAAAAGCTGCGTTGATGTGAAGGTGTCAGATCCTTGGAATCAGTGTTATAAACAGTTGTAAGCTGCCATGTGGTGCTGGGAATTGAAACTCAATCCTCTGGAAGAGCAGAGAGCAAGCACTCTTAACCACTGAGCCATCTCTCCAGCCCTGTATATATTCATTTATATACAGTAGATATATAATATAGGATAATCATACTAACACCTGTACACCTAAAGAAGCTAAGCAAGAAGGAGGACCCTAGGTAAGGTGCTCAATCCTCATTCTGAAAGGTAAACAAGACAGACTTTGGAAGAGGAAGAAAACAGGGAATAGGACAGGAGCCCACCACAGAGGACCTTTGAAAGACTCTACCCAGCAAGGTATCAAAGCAGATGGTGAGCCTCATAGTCAAACTTTGGGCAGAGTGCAGGGAATCTTGTGAAAGAAGGGAGAGATAGAAAGACCTGGAGGGGAAAGGAGCTCCACAAGGAGAACAACAGAACTAAAAACAAAACAAAACAACAACAACAACAAAAAAAAAAAAAAAAACCAAGCCCAGG